AAACCCCAAAGTCAGATAGACTGAAGGGGAAGCTGAAGGCAAATGTGGCCCTGGGTCAACATGGGCTAGAGGAACAGGTAGAAAATACCATGTATCTGTACAGGCCAAGGTTCCTACAGCTCTTGTCCTTTCTACCCACATCCTTCCTGAAGAAGTGATCTTATTTCCTAAATCTGTTGTGAATTAATAACTTGCCCAAAGGCTTAAGTCTTTCACTATCTCACTTCAAATTTGTTTGGGAGCATTCGTGTTTACTGTAGTCAACTTCCCTTGTTCTTCCTGGACTCTTCTCAAGAAATCTACTCTCCAAACTTCTGTTGGAATGGTTACCAGGTCATATCTCCATGATCCAACCTAGGCAATCAGATGCTTTCTCCTGGGAACCTTGAAGACTTCAGGTAGGCTCTGCTGAGCACTCAATAGATAATATCTAGAGATGGTTGAAAGGGGCTGCTAGTATAACTTCAAGACAAGTCTGGGTAATTGACATTTGCTTTAAGCCTAAAACTCTATTTTCACATATTAACCTATTTTGTCTCATTGTCCCAGATGTAGAACACCTATTAAAAACTTAAATTGAGCAACAAATATACCATTTATAGGAACTTTGAAATAATTACTAGCCAGGCATGCTGGAGAACACTCAGGAGGCTGAGGTAGGAGGATTGCAAGTTCAAGACCATCCTCAGCAGAGAGGCTCTCAGCAACTTAGAGAGACCCTGTCTCAGAATAAAAAATGGAAAGGGCTGGCAATGTGGCTCAATGGTAGAGCATCCCTGGGTTCAATCTCTGGTACCAGAAAAAGAAGAAAAAATAATAATTACTATGTTCACAGAATTGAAAACTTGGAACTTAATGGGTTAATGATGCTGAGGGTAATAAATGAGAACTCTATTCATTTCAGAGTATATGGTACCATAATTGCAGATAGTTGTGTAGAAATCAAATGACCCTGAGTACAGATGGGCAGCAGACTCAGTCAGGAGGTCAGACAGCCAGACTAGTCCAGAATCATTTTAGCCTGATACACATATATGTACAAAGGCTGGGCTTAAAGAGAGGAAGACTGATCTACACTTAAGCACCCCTTAAATAGGACTTTCGGACTTAGAATCTTGCACCTCTGTCAATTAGAATAATGGGGTTGATCTTTACTATATATGATTTGACACCCTTTTCTTCATTCTCTCAGAAAACTAAAATTTGCTTTAACCAAATGGTGTCTGTGTCTGGTATTCCCATCAAACCAAGCCTACTCCTCAAGAGTACAGAAATTACCCAGAACTACACAGGAAGCAAGGAAACCTGCAAACCTTTCTTCCCAAAAAGAACTTTCTTCCCAAAGTTCATGATATAATTCAGCTTGACATTCAGGAGGATAGGAAAGGTGCTATCACATGGCCAGGCCAATACCATCTTGTTACGGCTATACAGAGGCAGGAGCTGTGGTAATGGCCCTTAGTGCTCTGTCATCTCCTTTGGCCCTCAATGGAGGGGACTTTCCTATCCCTGAGTGCCCAGTGGCCTGCTCGGGAGGAATTTACATAGCTCCCCAGCCTTTTGACATCATGGAGAGTAAAGGCAGCAATGTTGGCTGACCTTTGAGTATGCAGTGGAGCCATCCAGAATCCCTGAGACAGAAAAGGATTTTTTAACTCACTGGCTTTGAAGACTCCATCTGCCACCTGCCCTGGCAAGGTCAGGGTATGTTGGATGCAGCCCAAGCAGGCTGCCAGATCTCTGCAGGGTTCACGGTTCAGTGCTAACCTGCTCCCCCACCTTTCACATATGTACACTTATGTGTACACACAAACGCACACACTTGTCAAGAAGACTGGGATTTAGCACTGTTTCTTTTTTTAAAGCAGAAATTTAAGAGAGTAAAATAACAACTTATCTTTATAGCTAAGGGAAATAGGAAAAGGGATAGAACTTAAATCTGGGCATCTATGTCCAGCCAAGTCCTGAGTCAGCTCCCCTCCCACCCCAATCTGAGATGACAGCTCAATGGAGTGCAGGCCTTTCTCCTGTTCTCCATGGCAAATGCTATGGATGACTTTCCCTTGTGTGACACAGTCCCATGAGGACACACAGCACCCAGTCAGAATGTGGGGCATGTATAATGATTTTAAGTGAGCACCCTACTGAGCATTTTCCATAAGCCAGCCACAGTGCTGCCTGTCACATAGATTAGATTGTCTAATTCTCACAGCCACCCTTAGGAGATAGGTTCTGTTATGGCCACTGAGATGAGAAAACATACAACACCCAGGTGGCAGCACAGCAATGTGAATCTAGGTCCATCTGACTCCAGTGTGTGTGTTTCCAAGCCTCTTTCTACAGCCCTGTAAGAGTGGAGGCCTACAGAGCATGGACCACTTCCCAGGACTGCTTTTCATCTCATCTGGTACCATTGCCCTAATTCTGCCAGTGACATGCTTATTTTTAAAAGGGAAAGCATCACTTCCCCTCTCGGGATGGATCTGGAGTCCAAGGCATACTTCAAAGAGACAGGAAGCAACAGGGAAGAAGCAGCCTCCCTTGGTTTGCCCTTCATATCAGGGGTGTGGGCATTCCATTTCCTTAGTTCTGTTGCAACAGTTGAGAAATGGCCATTGTATTAGTTGAAGGAATTCCAGCTGTTCTACAGATAACTCCCGGGTTTTAGTGGTTTAACCCTAAAGACATTTCTTTCTCACTTACATAACAGGGACTTGCAAAAAAGCTAAGCATTCAGAGTTTAAGGGATATCTCCCAGGTGACCAAGTCTTACAGCACTTCTTCCTTATCAGGGATGCTTTCCACCACCCTCTTTGCATAACACCTGCTGCTGTTCAGGGCTGGGTGTGTAAACCACTCCCCATACACACCAGGGTTACTCTCCTGTCAAGGTCACTGAGAGAGAGAGAGAGAGAGAGAGAGAGAGAGAGAAGAGAGAAGAGAGAAGAGAGAGAGAGAACATTGCCTGTGAATGAAAGAATCAGAGCTCATTTCCCTCAGCCCTTCATCACCCTTTTCCTTACTCTTTTCCATTTCCTGTCACAGAGCTTTGGCATTCCTGATAACAAACCAGAATTAAAGTCAAAATGCCATCTAAGGATGCAGGAAGTCTATGACAACTGGTCTGCCACTGCTAGTGGCAGGCCTGGACAATTTAATGAGCCACAGATAGACTCCTTTGAGAATTCTACCAGGAGAGGAAGAAGTGATATATGGTTCAGTCAGGGTCAGCCCCCCAGCTACTTTTCAAGAGATTTTAGGTCCTTTGGGTCTCCCTGAGGAATTAATTTTGAGTCCAGGAAAGAGAGAATCTTGGCTTCTATGGCCCAAGGGCAGTGATGTCTTAAGGGACCTGCAAATTAGGGGGACCTAGGCTCTCCTTGAATTCACCCAGAGGCCCTGATGCTTGGAGGTTCCCTCCTGACCATTTCAACTAAGGAAGTGTCCTTTTGTCCGAAGACCTGAGTTGGGAGCCTCTTACCTCTTCACCACTACCCTGCATGATTACTCCAGCTAGACTCACAGGACTGTCAAAGGCAATGGAGCCCACACAGTGTGAGGCTCTGATCTTGGTCTCTCAGGATGATTAGGTAGAGAGCAGCTGCCTGCACTGGGAGAGCACAGTTCTCTATCTAGAACCCTTGCACGCACATAAATAGCTCCTGCCCACTTCCTGGTGATCCCATTCCCAGGGGTTCTGTCCTCTTCACTTACTGAGAGCAGAAAGAAGAAAGGCTTTATGAACAATCTCCTCTAAGTACAACAAACAACTCTCTCCTTTGTGCTCTTGTAGCACTTTATATGGATGATAATGCTTATGATGTACATGTTAATAATCATGCACCATCTTCTTCTGTCTCTTATTATCTATAAGTTCTATAATAGATGACTTCTTATTTACATCTGTATTTTCTGTACCTACATGTATGGCATTTGACCTTTAGAAATGTTACTTAGTGAATGTGAATTATTTTTGAGGGAACCAGTTAGCAAATGAATGCATCAATAGGCAAAGACGAATAGGATAAGAATGAATGAGAAGAGATGGGGGAGGGAGTAGTGAATGAGGCGAGAGTGGCAGAATGATGGCCAGTCGCCTTCGGTATCCTACCCTCCTCTTCTCTGCAAACATAGCCCTGTTTTGTAGTTGAGCATGTTGCCACAGTTGAGCAAAAAAAATATATTTCTAACTTCCTTGCAACTAGAAACATCCAAAGTTCTGTGACTAATTTAAGCATAAGTAGCAGTGATGCATGAGATCTCAAAGAGAATCCTTAAAGAAGGAATATGTGTTCTCTTGACCCTTGCACCTTTTTATTGCCTAGAAGATGTGTGATAGATAGTTGGAGCTTAGCAGCCATATTACTCAACAGGGTGAATTCTAGGTACAAAACTACAATGGGATCATAAAGCAGAATGACAAAGTCCAGGTGTCTGTTGATCATGGAGCCACTATAATACCCTACCTTGCCTTCCTCTACATCTTTTATATACAAGAAAGAAAGGCATTTCCATTTTACCTGTTGTTGACTTGTGGTTTGTTGTTTTTATTACATGCTGTTGAACCTGATTCTAACTGATTTACCCAAAACAACAGTTCTAAAATCCAGGCCTCCATTCTCCCATTCAAGTTCTTCAAGAAGTCAGGTTCAAGACAACCTATGATGGACTAAGACTGTGCACTCATCCAGATCCTTCACAGGCCCTCCAAAAGAACAAGGTGGCACTCAAAACCATAATGTGAATCAGAGAATCTTTATCTTTTACAAAGACAATCAAAGTAAGGAATGACTCCTGATCAATTTTCAAAACCTACTCGATTGATGGGGGCACAGACTGAAACTTGCATTGAATGCAAGTCCCAATGACCTCAGGAATTGCAACCAGGGAAACCCATCTATGACTAGATCTTGGTGCTCTTAGGACTGGTCAGTTCTTGCATTTTTGACAGCAAAGTACTTACTCTTTTGCAAAGTGGAGCATGCAGGGTTAGATCTTACCTCCACCAGGGAATGCCAATGTGCAATGGGCTTCCGAGGATATGACAGCATTTCACTCCAGTGGTCTCTGCCCAGCCTCTCAGCCTGGTTGCCAACTTGACACACGCCAATGATCTCATTGTGACCTACACTGTGAAAATGGCCCACAATAGTTTTTTCTTAATATTTTGGTATATAAGAGCATCAGTTACTCAAAACTAAATTGATGGCAGGAATGGGGAAATGGTATTTTTATATTAGTCACTAATCTAAAACGATAGGCCAAGCTTAACAGCCAACAGGACTTTCAATGTTGTACCCCAGGTTTCCTAACACTGAATGGCTTAGCTTATTCCCAAGAACTCTGTGATGCATGCTAAGAATGCCATCTCTGGTTCTGGAACTACACTGGTCCCCAAATCCATAAAACGAAAAGGGAACCCTTTGAAGGAAGTTTATTTATTTTCTATTTTTTTACAATAATGGCCATTCAAATCACCACAAGAGGCTACTCAGGATGGGTGAGCGAGCAGCTCTGGGTCACAGCCACTGGTCTGGCCCACAAATGGAGCAGAGTGGAGGAGGAACCTGGGTCTTCTTGCTCCCCATTTTGTTAAGAGAACATGGATATCATCTTATGCTGTTCTCTCTTTCCCTCTAAATCCAATTTTTGGTTCTTTGACCCAACTTGATGTCTCAACTATACAAATAACTCTTTTAACCTCAGGGATGATATTTCTGAAACTTCCTGGGTGGGTCTGTGTCTTGGGCCAATTTGTTTTTTCCTTAGTAATTTTTTTTTAATAAAAAATCCTTTGCGTCAGGTACAGTGGCTCATATTTGTAATCCCAGTGGCTTGGGAGGCTGAAGCAGGAGGATGGCGAGTTCAAAGCCAGCCTCAGCAAACGTGAGGCATTATGCAACTCAGTGGGATTCTGTCTCTAAATAAAATACAAAATAGGTCTGGGGATGTGGCTCAGTATTCGAGTACCCCTTAGTTCAGTCCCCAGTACTCCCTTCCTTTTTCCTTCCTGCAAAGAAGAGTAATTTTCTCCTATTTGTGTGTGGGTGGTAAAGAGAATAGAAGGGAAGGGAGATAGTTTAAAGGATACTCAAGTCTATAATCATTAAAATCAGATGCATGTAGAAACTCCATGGATTCTGTCATGGATTTTTCCGGTCCAGATTAATGAGTTTACTGATAATTAAATTGAGGCAGAGATCACATAATCAAATTTGTCGATGTAGGAAATTTGACAATAGCTTAAAAAGTGTTGGTCTAGGCTTCCACAGTTGGTAGTCAACACCCTCTCCTGGGGTCTGACACTAATGGTGTTGTGTGTTGCCCATAGGAGATGGTTTAAGGTCTGTCACAGCCACAGGCAGGAGGATTGGAAGACGGTCATGCGTCATACAAGCATCTGCTGAAGACTGCGTTCAGGTCACTGGTGCTGCCTTGCTGACATTTCAGAGGTAGGTGGGAAAATTTTTGGCTACAAATAATATTTGTAAGATTATATTAGAAGTCAGAATGATTTTTTTCTTTTATAATTGTTCCCAGACCACGTGGGAGGTTTCTAATTAAAAAGAGACTTTGCATTTCAGTCTAATGACTGGTTTAACATGTATAATTCCCTGTTGGTACTTCCTTTGCATATTAAAATGACTGTTTTTCAAATCTGTCCTTTAAATACACAATTGGCTACAATGCAGGCTATAAATATCTCTTCTGTGCTGTATTAATTAAAAAGTCTAGCATCTTATGCATTTTAATGTACCCTGTCATCCATACTGATTCTAGCATTTTCAAGAGAACATTTCTGTGTTTGCTTTCAGACTTAAGTGGATGGAAATGATCTTTATTAAACAGGCTGCAAGAACAACAACAAAAAAAAGATTGAAGTTATGTATTTAGAAATGTTGATGGTCTGGGTACAGTAATCATTCTACTGTTTTGAGTTAATCTTTTCCCTAAAGGTAATCAGGATTGCCCAACAGAAGATATGACTTGTGGGGCACTTCTTTAAGCCCAGATTCCGGGAGGTGTGCAAACATGAAAAAGGAAAGAGATGGAGGTGTGGGGAGAATGGAGGAAGAGAAAGATGTAAGAAAGTGGGAGGAAAGAATGGAAGAACTGAGGCACAGTGGTAATCTGACTCTACAGAATGGTTTGGAAACTGGTGATTCCTTGTCAGTCTTCCTTCTACGTGCTACTTGTTCAGGCATTTCCTGCAGCCTGGGATACTAGCTAAAAATCCATGGCCATTCCTTTCTGTTCTCACTGCCCAGGGCACGACAGACTTGCACTGAGACAGGGCTCTCACCGGTCATAATCCATGACTGCTATGGACAAATGGATTTGGTCAATGTTCTCAGGAGGGACATCAAAGACTATGGCTTCGTTGTAAACAGGATTCAGCGTGTTCCTCTTGGTGGATGTTTTCCTCTTCTTCAGTCTCCTGCCATCACACATCAGTGACACTTTCACATAGGGATCTGTATAGACCGTGAGAAGCAGGGGAAATGTGAGGGTTAACGTAGATGGTGGGTTTGCGTGGACAATGGTACACAGAACTCCTTTACCTGCCTCTGGACTAGAGTTTTGAGGATTTTAATTAACGTGCTATCTGGGCAGTGACTAGTTAGGATAATTAAGTCATTCATTCAAGAAAAAAGCACAGGACACTGTCTCCTCAAAATGTGTGAAATTTAAAAATAGTGTGAAACATCTGTTACCAAATTAGAAAACATTCCAGCTAGAATTTAAGACCAGCCTGTCTGTGATAGAAAGAGAAATACAGACACTTCCAAGGAGTGGAAAACAGGCCTCAGACCTCCAACTTTGAGCCACCTCAGGGAATCTTTTCCTAAAGATCAGCGCTTTGAGAAAGGGAATTCCTGGATTCCTAAAATTTCTGAATCCCTACACATGGAGAAAGAGCACCTGGGGGTGGATCTCCTGGGGTACAGGGCGCCTCCTGTCATCAGATTTCAAGGGGAGAAGCAGTCCATCCTCCAGGGAGAAAGGAACACGGGCTTCCTGTGGTGCACCACTGATGGGGGCCGGTGATGAGCTGACTCCTGCATCACAGAGCTGGTCTCACCCATGCCTCACTGTACTCCTGCTCAATGGCAGGTTCTCCATCTTTCTTTACTTGCGTAGCCATGTGCTTTCCTGACCTCTGACCCATCCCAGGAGGGACTTAGAGGGCAGAGACTTTTCCAAGGCTTCCCCCCCCCCTTAGAAAAACACCAACATATAGGACACAAAATATCATGTATCTTGTGTTCTTTGATTTCAGTGATTGTGAGCCATTGTGCCCTTTATTCATTGGAAAACCCAAACTGTTATGTTCACTTTTATAAGGAAATGGAATTATCTGCAATCTTCAATAAGCCTGGGATGGTGATATTGAGGAAAAAGACCAATTAGATAAGCTTGACCAGAACGGACAAACCACAGATCCAGTTTACATGGTGACAGAGAAGACCTGAGAGAAAAATAATATTACTGACAACTAAAATTATGTAGCATTTAATATAAACCAAATACTGTTTTATGAATTTTTATGTATTAACTCATTTAATCTCACAACTCAATGAGCTAGATACTATTATTACTTTATTTTACAGATGGGAATCTGAACCCCGGAGAGGTTACATGACTTGCCCAAAGTCATACAGCTCTTAAGGTGGTGGCTCTCTGATTCAATCTATGCAGTTTGGTTCCAGGGCCAATGTGCTTTATTACTATACTAGAAACTATATAAGACACTACATTAGAACCAGAGAGACTGAATTGATGATGTCCCACCTGATGCTCCTGTTATGTCCATTGCCTTTAAATTTCTTGCTTTTATAATGGTAATGGTCAGCCTGCCAGCCGTGGGAAGATAACAGAGGGAAAACATCAGCTCTCCAAGATCCACATTGTCCTGTTGAGAAAGCAGAGTGAAGCATTAGAAAATGTCTTCGTCCAGGTGTGCATGAGGCTCAGTGCCAGGGCACTGGAAGGGACCATGCTGCTCCTTTTGCTCAGTCATGAAGAGTCACTGTGTCTCTTCCTCTCCTGTCAGTCACATAGAGAAGAATATACCCTTGCACTCTAGGATCTTCTCTTCCTAAGGAAGCGCAGCACACCTTTAGATGGCAAAGCTGCAGAGGCCGTCTAGGACTTCTACCACCATTTATCTAGCCACACACAGCCCTGCACAGCCTCCACGGATCCCGGTAGCCCAGGACACAACCTCCAGTGCAGAACTCCACAGTCTTAACAATCTTCCATGGCGCTCCGCCATGTGACTCTACTCACATCCCTACCACAGTCCACATAGAGCTCCCCATACAAAGCTACACAGAGATGCCCCACAGTGGTGCATAGCCACCCCAGTCCAGGCTCTGTGTGCACAGTCCCACAATGCACTGCAAAAGATTTCAAAGAGGTCTGCACCCAGCCCACAATTTCCCCTACACAGTGCTCTCAAGTTAGCCACAGTATCCCCATATACTCTGCCCAACCACAACCTTCCTGCAAGTCCCCACTCTCAAACACTGCACACAACCTAGTCACATGTGACCTGTGCAGGACTCCATACCCAGAAATCTTCTAGCTCCTCATGTAGCTCTGGACAAGAGCACTGCATAAGTGTGAGAGTGGCGGCCCGTGACCCCACACATCATGGCCCTGGACACACCTGGACACTTGTTTCATCATGTAGTCTCCATGAAGAAAGAGAAGGGCAGAGCCCCAGACCCCTGGATGTCCTGCTGCCTGTCCCCAAGGTCCCCCTTTGCCACAGCTGTTCCCTTCTCTGGTGTTTCTATAAGGAGCCCCCATTCCCTCTGCTAGGGAAGACATCTTTTTGTGTGATGTGCAGCCATTCAAATAGGTCAGAAGACATGAGCCTCTTTCTCCTTTTTGAGGAGAGAGAGAGAGAGAGAGAGAGAGAGAGAGAGAGAGAGAGAGAGAGAGAGAGAAAGCCAGTTCATTTAGTTTCAATTTCTGAGAGATACCTGAGGTTATGAAGCTGGGTGTCTGTGTCTAATTAATACAATTTCATACTGACAATGCTCTGGGGAGTCAGGTTCTTGCCCTCAACATCCACAGTCTCCCTTCCCCTTCGAGATTCTCCAAGGAGGCTTCTATTTTTAGAAGCACAGATTCAGCTCTGGAAGGTCACCTCACCCAACCTCCCGCCTTGACTGCTTCCACAGGAGGATGAGGCAAGCAAAGGGATCTTTTTAGTCACTAAGGCAGATGGATTGCTCTGCATCTCCCTGCATCAATTGCCCCATGTAAACCAAGCACCTCACCTTGCAAACCAGTTTCCCCTGGCTCCTGGAGCTGTGACCTCAAGAGACCAGGCAGCAGGGCATTTCCCTTTGGGGAGAGGTTGTGGGGGATGGGTTCTCTAAGAGTGATGGTTCCCACACAACAGGCTATGGCTGCTTGTGATGCTGGGTTCCCTGCTGCCTGGGAGCAGGATCTGAAGAGGATAAGTCTGACCCAGCTTTCTGCTGGTAGCAGATGGGAAAGAGAAGCAACAGCTGTCCCCACAAATCATCCTTTTTTGTCCTTATTCCCTGCCCCATTCCTTTGCCCTTTGACTTTCACTCTTCCCTTGGAAGGCTTTCCACTGCACATCGCTCTCTCCTCTCACCTCATCCTGCCCAGAAAACCTTGGTTTGACAAAGTAATTACAAGAGCAACCAAAATCATGCCTGTGAAATTTCATAATCAATTCTTTTGACATATTTCCTGTACATACACCCACACTGTAAGGTTTGGAGGAACTTTGATTGGGCAATGGGTAGGGAGAGTAGGGAGGGTGCATGGGGGTAGGGAAGATGGTGAATAAGATGGACACCATTACCCTAGGTACATGTATGACTGCACATATGGTGTGATGCTACTTCATGTACAACCAGAGAAATGTAAAGTTGTGCTGCAACTGTGTACAATGAATCAAAATGCATTCTGCTGTTATATTTATAATTAAAATAAATACATTAATAAAAATAAAGGTTTGGGATATGAAAATATTCTCAGTCCAGTCCCTGCCCTCAAGGCTGATGCACATAATGAAATATGTCAGATCTCTTCTGTACCAGGTACATTGGATCCCTTTCCCAGCATAGACCCCATTCACAAAGATTGATATTATATGGCTATTTGCTTATGAGTTAAAAATAATCAAACTTCATACTCGGTACTATATTCAGAATGTGAACTGGGGCTACAGCACACATTTCTACTTTTTTTTTCTTTTAAATATAAGTTAAAGAAACTGTTATCAAAGAGAAAATGCTTGGTTTGATCTCTAAGTGCTTTAAAAAGAACTATTCTAAAATTTTCTAAATTGTAAAAATAAAATTCAAATATAGAAAAAATTTCAAGTTAAGCAGTAAAATATTTCCTTTTCTCATGCATATGCCCATAATGTCATTCCTTTCCCCAAAGTAATACAGTGAAGAGTCATCCAAATCTTGTTCTTTTCATGTGCATCCACCCACCCATCCATCTGTCTGTCCATCCATCCATCCATCCATCCATCCATCCATCCATCCATCCATCCATCCATCCATTCATCCCTTCCTTCACTTATTCTTTTAACATATGCCATGGTTATAAGCATGGGTTGAGCATGCTCTTTTCAGAGGCCTGGAGCTGAATCTGCAGTAGTGTAAAACAGTCACTATCCCTTGAACAGACTTGGGTTTGTGGGGCAGTGGAACAGGATTTAACTGGCACCTAATGGTAACTGTTTTTCCCAAATAGTTTATCTGATTGGGGTTAAGAAACCTGTAGACTTCAGTGTTTTGTAAACATTCCGAATCAAGTGGTTCTCAGTTAATAGCAATTTTTCTCTCTTAGAGGACATCTGACATTACTGGAGAAATTTTTAATCATCACAACTGTGTAGGGTGATGACATCTAGCAGGTACAGCCCAGGGATACTTTAAACATCCTACAAGGGAGAGGGAAGCCCGTTATCTAGTCCATAATGTCAATGGTGCCAAATTCCGATGTATATGGACATGCTTACATTCTTAGTAAAAGTTTTTCTGAAATGTTCATAAAAGTCAAATGTAAAGGGGGTGGTGGAGTATGTGGCTTCTTTTTCTGCTTGACAGGAATCAGATATGCAGAAGTTTCAGTGTCAGCTGAGTACCCTGGAGAACACAAGGGGGAAGGAAAATGCCACACAAAGAAATGCTTCATTTGCTCCAGCTTTGTATGGCCAAGTTCAGAATTGTTAGCAAGATGCATTGGGAATTTATGGCAAGCATATGTGAATTCACTACCTACCAACCTGTAAATGTTTTCTTGATCTGTTTGCCTGGAGTGGCCAAGATAGCTGTAGTTTTTAGCTAATTAGTACACTTTTGTAGTCCTCTTCTTGGACTCTTCTGAGAATATCTTCATGGAGTTTGGAAGGAATTCCAAACTCCATGAAAATATGAAGGGCTACTACCAGAATCCAGGCTAACTAAAATACTTACGCCCCTGTGCTTTGCTGGGATGAAGGATGGGTGTATACCCCAAGAAGGATCATTTAGAGTCATTCCTGGGATTGAAAAAAATCAATATTGAGAAAGAGAAATTTTCATTTTATTGGGCTTATTTATTGGAAGACAGGAGACCAGAATTGTTGCAAGGTTCTTGTATTATATATAGTACAAATGGCATAATACCACTTTAAGTTAATCTATGTCAGTTAAAGACAAATACTCAAAGGAAATAACTAAAATAACACAACAAGGAGTTATAGGTAACAAGATGAACAAAAGAGATAAAGTGGTGCCTTTTTGTCTGATAGGAGGCCATAAGGCCCTCAGTGCAGAAGTGGTCCTGCCCTATTTCCAGGAGGAAGAAACACCAAGACAGAGAAACCAAGAAGATCTGAATAAACCAGCCTTGTTGAGATTCCCCCTTCAGTGTGTCACCACTAGGTCAGACCCTTTTGTTCAATCACATTTCTACATGTTTTCAACATCACCAGTTGCCCTCCCTTTTGAGACACAAGCAGAGGAAGAACCATATCTTACTACCTGGGCTTGCTTACTAAATACATATCAGACCTCTTCCAGCTGGGGAAGCTGTGGGCCCCAGAATGCAATGAGAACATATCTTGTTTTCAGACTTTCAGCTTCTATGAGGAAAGCAAAGCCTTCTTGGGGTTTTTACTTAAAGCCAAAAAAAAAAAAAAAGGCTACATTATAGTTACTATTTTGGCCACAAATGGAATATTTTTTTTCTGCCCTTGTCTAGCCTTCATTGAACATAAGCTTACAAATAAAGTTTTCCCTGAGTCTTTGGATCTTCATTTCTGAAGGCTCATGTGTCATATAAAACTTCGATTAAATAAATTTATCTTTTCTCCTGTTAATATGTATCTGTCAGTTTTTATTTCAGACCTATAGAGGAATCATAGGAGGACTGAGGAAATCTGTCTTCCCCTACATCAGTCTGTGAACTCCTTAAGGGGAAGGCCCATTTATCCACCTCTCTCAGTGGTGGCCATGTTGGGATGGCTCAGTCAATGTTTCTTGCACTAATGAAGTGATGCACAAATGAAGGAGAGGTGGTCCTTGGATATGTATTATACTCTCAGTAGCTCTGTGGAGCCTTTTATCAAATGTCCAGTGAGCTCCATTCCTTCCTCCCCAGTCCCCACCTACTCCCTGCCACCATTATCACCACTGTCAGCATTATCAGCTCACCAAGAAATCCTATTTTTACAGAGACTCTTTCAAAAACAAACCTTGTAAAGAACAGTAGCAAGAAATCATTTGTTTAGCAAATACAATCCTAGTTGCAATGTTTCTCTCAAATGTCCTCTACCCTCACCTGTAATAATCACATTGATGGTTCAAACCTGGTCCACCTGTAATGTGGAAGCTGTTAATGATCTGATCTTCCTACTTTCTCAAA